GGGAGAAATATCAATAACCTCAGATATGCAGATGACACCACCCTTATGGCAGAAAGTGAAGAGGAACTAAAGAGCCTCTTGATGAAAGTGAAAGAGGAGAGTGAAAAAGTTGGCTTAAAGCTCAACATTCAGAAAAGTAAGATCATGGCATCTGGTCCCATCACTTCATGGCAAATAGATGGGGAAACAGTGACTGACTTTATTTTTCTGGGCTCCAAAATCGCTGCAGACGGTGATTGCAGCCATGAAATTAAAAGATGCTTACTCCTTGGAAGGAAAGTCATGACCAACCTAGACAGCATATTAAAAACCAAAGGCATTACTTTGCCAGCAAAGGTCCAAATAGTCAAGGTTATGGTTTTTCCAGTGGTCATGTATGGATGCGAAAGTTGGACTATAAAGAAAGCTGAGTGCCGAAGAATTGATGCTTTTGAATTGGGGTGTTGGAGAAGACTCTTGAGAGTTCCTTGGACTGCAAGGAGATCCAACCAGTCCATCCTAAAGGAGATCAGTCCTGGGTGTTCATTGGAAGGAGTGATGTTGAAGCCAAAACTCCAATACTTTGGCCACCTGATGCCAAGAGCTGACTCATTTGAAAAGACCCTGATGCTGGCAAAGATTAAGGGCAGGAGGATAAGGGGACGACAGAGGATGAGATGGTTGGATGGCATCACCCACTCGATGGACATGGGTTTGGGTGGACTCCAGGAGTTGGTGATGGACAGAGAGGCCTGGCCTGCTGCAGTTCATGGGGTCACAAAGAGTTGGACAGAACTGAGTGACTGAACTGAACTGATTAAAAAGAGAATAGTATACAAGTAGGAATTTGCTTCAGACAATCACCGGAGATTGTTGCATCAGTGGGACACTGACTGATGCAGACAAGACAGACCTTAAATAGATACTATTGGAACTAGGTGATGGGTACATACAAGTAACATTTTTCTGAATTTTTTGTTAAAGTTATCCTTTAAAAAAACAAGTTTGCAAACGTTTTTCTTTGAGCAACATCAACTATAATGAAGTGCTCTCAGGGCAAACTGTGATCACGTGTACCTAGTTTCCGCAAGCTCACAGAAGCAGGAATTGATTTGAAAAACCTTTTTTAAGACTTTAAGTGGTTAATATGACCCAAGTGACCTTTGAGGAGGCAAGGTCTGCATCTTTGCCGTTGGAGTTTCCAGAGACTCCTTTCTAGAAGCTGGAACAATGGGAACCTTATGTATCCGCAGAGGATCCCCGTGAACCTTTGTAGCAGCCCTCACAAAGCTGCACCACCAGGGCCGAAGCACGTCTCCGCATGCACGCGGAGGGTGCACGCGGACGCAGCGCGAGCACTTGGGCATAGACTGCGCAGGCGCCACGCTGGCGCCAGGAGGGCCGGGCGAGCACCCGGAGCGAGGTGAGCTCGGGGTGCGCAACTGGGAGGCAGGGCTCCCAGCACGGGCAGACGCCGCCACCACTACGAGGCTTCAGAGACAGGTCGGACCCACAGCCCTTTTGCTTTTTTCCAGGTCAGGGTTCCCATGCACACGGGAGAGCGAAAGGGGCTGCATGAGGGCTTCGGGGCTTCGGTCGTTGGGGGCCGGACGTTGGGCGCTGGACGTTGGGGTCGGGCGTTGAGGTCGGGCGTTGAGCGGGTACCAGGGGCCTGGAGGTGGAAAGAGTATCGAAGTTTTGGAGAGGTCCTGGGAGCTTGGGCGGGGAAGGCACGTCTGGGGTGGGAGGTTTTGGTGGGGGAAGATCCCGTATTGGGGGGAGGGGCGAGAGATGTGAGAGTTGAGCTTTGGACGTAGGGGGGACATGCACCCGGTTTGGAAAATAGTTCATAACTTCCAGGCATGACTCTCCAGACTGAAAACCTCCACTTGCATCCCCTTCAAGTACCCCTTTCCCCTTCTAGGAGAATCTGACTTGTGGATTCAGTGCTTTCACTTAACTCAGAGCTACAGTGCAAAGAGTTTTTTTTAGATTTTACCCCCCTTTACCTTCCTACCTCCTGTAAAAGGAAGGTGCATTGCAGCATTCGCTTAGATATAGGTGAGGCAAGCCTGGTTCGTTTAACACGTGTCTGTAGCGTGCGTGCGGTGTGCAGTCGCTTCTCTTGGTACTCAGGCCCTGCTATAAATGTGCTCGCCTTTTTGGCCTCTGGAATTAAGGAACATGCCTCTGGTTGCCTTGTTGAGCCATCCGGGTATTGAATGCACAATTGCAAGGCCTAGGAACATGACCTGAATTTTTTCATCTCAACTGTGTAAGGGCCCTGGTCCTTGTGGGTTTGGAGAGTTACTAAACCTTCCCAGGTCTCCTTTCCTTCTCTGTGGGAATAAAGAAATAGGACTACTTGAATTCTCAAATTATTTTGCTGTTCAGTGTGCAAACTAATTCCACATGAGTGGAAGAAAGTCTTTGAGTGTGGGAGTGGTACAGAAGTAAAGTAAAAATAGCAGCTGCCTCTTAAGGGTTTAGTAAGCACCTGCGATGGTGCTAGGTGGTTGACATACAGCCTCACGTTTAATCCTCATGATTAGATGTTATGAGGAAGTTACTGCTGCTGGCTAGATTTTACAGTCACTGAATCCTAGAAAGATGCAGTGATTTGCCTGAGCTAGCATATTGAATGAGGAAGATGAAACTGCTCAGACTTATATCTGACAGATGTTAAAGCTCATGTTCCTGTGGAACCGTTGAGATTCAGAGCTTGAAAAGTTGAATGTTTCCTTTGGGTAGCCATTCTCTCTGAATGCAAGGGGTTATGGGGAAGACAAAAGCAAACAGAGGAGGGGAAAAATGAGTTATCTACTGCATGCACTTTCGGTATTTAGCTCCCTCGCGGCTCAGACCTTAAAGAATCCGCCCACAGTGCTTCCATCCCTGGGTTGGGAAGATCCCCTGGAGGAGGGCATGGCACCCCACTCCAGTATTCTTGCCTGGAGAATCCCTATGGACAGAGGAGTCTGGTGGGCTACAGTCCCTGGGTTCGCAAAGGGTGGGAAAGGACTGAGCGACTCAGCACAGCACACTGTGAATTTACTCTCACCTCTTGGCTGTGGTCTCCTGAAAAGAGAGGAGAGACTTTATGTCACCGTTTGTAGTGTATCCTGGGATGCTCCTGGCTTCATAGGGGACGGGTTGCTGAATTCTAAGGGAATAAAAGAAAGTTTTTACCCTTGAAGGTGTGTCCAGTCTTACTGAGATCAGTTCGTGAAGCATAGAGCTAAAGGACAACACAAAACCTATAGGACTGCAGAAGTTAGTTACTTTCATTCCACTGCTGTTTTTTTACATCATCCTTAAAGAAATTTGGGGATCTTTCTAATTAACTTCTTATGTTGGCTAAGGAAACAACAAAACTATTTACTGTGGATTTGAGGATGATTATAAATTCATTTTATTCATCACCAGTAGCGTGTAAAAAAATAGTGGATTTTATATGGAGGAACTACTTATTTTAAAACTGGGTGAGCTTAGGCCGTCCTCGAGGTATTATGACCTGCAGAGCGATATCTATACCTATATGTATTGGAAGTTTGCAACCCAAGGTTGGGAAGCACAGCATTATGGTGTAGAGCCCATTGACTCCATATTCAGTTATGCCCCAGTGATTGAACGAGGATGAAGCCAAGTGAAGACACATGCACATTCTCAGTGTTTCATAATGAAACTCAGCTTTAAAAGCCTGTCATGTATCCCAATTGTGGTGGTTACATAAATCTTTATATGTGTTAAAATTCATGAACTTATAAATCAGAAGAAAAAAGGCAGTTGCGTGGTATGATAATTATACATTAAAAAAAAAAATGAGTTCCAAAAGATTTTAGATGGCTCCATATGTGTGCTCACAGTAGTCCTGCTTCCTCTAAAAACTAGAGCATGGGTGAAAGTAGTTTTCAGAGTCAAGGATAGCACAATTCTCCTGTTGACCATTTGTCAGCCCACATCTCAAATCCTGTGCTTTTAGGAGAGTCCTGTCTGTGTTTGGGTTGTGGATGAACTAGAGAAAGTGCTAAATTGTGGGAGGTCTGGCCGATCCTCAGCTGGTGAAGGACCTGGAGGAAAGTGGACGTGGTGCCCATTTCAGATGTTTGAAAGGTTGGGGTCACAGGGCAGCAACAGGAGTCAGTAGTCAGTTGGAGAAGAGAATCACTTTATAGAGACATGTGCAGTGCAATTGGCTGTCCAAAATTAAAGGATGTTAGAAGCCTCTAGTTATAGGACAGGTCCAGATGTCTGTTTACCCTGGGGGTTGTAATGAAAATTCCTAAATTGGGTGAGGCAAGTGAACCTAAATTCTAACCTCAAGATTCCACCATAGGTGGAGCTTCTTTTAAGCTTAAATCCTTTTTGTTTGCTGTTTCAATGTGTAAGACCTGGGTTCGATCCCTGGGTTGTAAAGATCCCCTGGAGAAGAGAAAGGCTACCCACTCCAGTATTCTTGCCTGGGGAATTGCAAAGGGTCGGACACGACTGAGCAACTTCCACTAAACAGACTAAACTTTACATTAGGTCTAAGACTGATTCTGTTATCCTTCCTAAAGTCAATATTTATTAATTTTTGGACTTTGGAAGAGTTAAGACGTGAATTATTGCTATTAAATTTCAGTAAACGCATACTATGATGTAATTCTCTATTTAGGATGGTCAGATGACATTTTCGGACAGTGAATTTAACTGTCCTGCCCAGGTTGTCAGGAAAACAGTGCAATAGGGCATGTTAGATAGTTTTTGTCATACAAGTATCTTTTGAATGCCTCTTTATACCAAACACCACAGTAGGTGCTATAGGAAATTAGAAGGGTTTTTGTTGTTAATTTTTTAGTAAGACATGGTTCCAGCACCAACTTAAAATAACTGTCTTTAGGTAACTGTACAGGGTAGTAAGGTGTTGTGGACTGACTGTCAGCCTTACTGAATAAAGAGAAAGGTAGGAAGGCTATTTTAAGAGTTAAAGACTGTATGTGTAGGGTCCTGGTGGTGTCTTGAAAAGCTGTCTGTACCCTAGTTTTGTGGTTTAAGTATTACTGTGATTTTTTTACTTGGTTTAAAATTAACCACACTTTAGGAAAAAGGTTTAATTGAACATGCAGTGATATTTTAGCCCTTAAAATACTTTTTTTATATAAAAGTAACTCATCCTTTAATATAATTTGGAAAATGAAAACAATAGTGAAAAAGATTTTCTTGTCAACTTACCCACCCAGACCACTGTTATTTAAAATCTAATGTATTTCAGTCTTCTTTTTTACATGGAGTTTTGTTCTTTTTTATTTTGCAGTTGTTATACTAAATAACTCAGTGTTTTTCTGATTTTTTGTTTGCTGTTCTAACATATTTTCCAGTGTTTCTGAAAACTAAAATTCTAAATGGTAGTGTAATATCCTATTAGAGTAGGATCCTAGTAGAGTAGTAGAGGCATCACAGTTAACTTTTTCTTTTTTCTATTTAATTTATTTTTTTCTTTGTTTTTATATTTTAAATGGATATTTATACATACTTCTTTTTTTTATATTTACAATTATTTCAGTGGGATGATTTCTAGAAGTAGACTTGTCTGGTGAGTGGCTATGGACATTTTTAAGAATATATATTTTTATGTATACATGCGTATATATATGTACACATATATGCAAGAGAAAAAATGCATATGTAAATCTCCAAATTATTTCCCAGACAGAACATATTCATTTATATATTCCCGTCATCACTGAGTGTTTTAATTACATGTATGCTGCGTAGGAGGTAATACATAGTTATTCCCATTTGGATTTTTTTGTTACATGTGAGATTCAATGCCCTCCCCCCGCCCCGCCCCCGTATGTTAATCAAGTAACCTTCATCCTCTATGCATTTCGTTCACACCTCTTGCATGTTTATTTTATTGGTATCTGTATCCTTTGGGCTGCAAATAAGGGAAAACCCAAAGGTTTATTTTTCTGATGCCACAGCAAGTCTCTGCATAGGCTGATCCGGGCTAGAATCAGAGCCTTTGCCAGGGGCAAAGACTAGTTATTTTCTACTGTAGTGTCCTGAAGTTGTGCTGTTTGATTATGCTTATTGCTTCCTCATTGTGATGTGGGTGGTACATCTTCAGGCCTCAGGTCTGTGTTGCTGGAAGAAAAGAGTGCAAGACCCTGCTAGCTGAATCTGTCCCTATTCATCAGAAAAGGACAGAGCTTCCTGAGAAGCTCAATTCAGAACTCTGATGATGGCCAATGCTGTCTCTAACTCAGGCTGGCAAATCAGAGGTGAAACGTGGTGTTTGGGCCAGTCACCCACAGTGTCTCCATGTTTCTTTACTGTTTATCCCACTTTTTAAAGGTATCCAGTTTGTCATCTTTGAGTTAATACTTATTTCCTGATTTCTTTACTGTTTTTTCTAAGCTTTTAATTGTTGTTATAGTCAGGCTTGCCATCATTTCCTTTGTAATATTTTACTACTTTTAAACTAAAACAGGGATTTCCCTGGTAGTTCAGTGATTAAGACCACATGCTCCCAATGCAAGGGGCACGAGTTTGATCCCTCATTGGGAAACTAAGATCCCACATGCCTCGGGGCGGCCGGAAAGAAAAACAACTAAAACCAAACCCAAACCCTTCATCTTCCACTGTGGGTTTTGCATGCTGATTTTCAGGGAAGTAAAATCTGAGGTGGAGATTAGTATAGTGTGGTGAGTGAACGTGGCTTGTATGATACTAGTTTCTTTTGGAGTTAGATGAAGTAGACTCGGTAGTCCGTTATATCTCAGTGTTGGAAAAAATGAATATTCTTGGTTGTATTGGTCCCTACTAGATCAAGTTCACTGTGGTAGTAAAATACATCTTATCACTGATTGTTTTCTATCCCTTGATTAGTATGTTTCTAAAGCTGCTGTGTCCTTTTGGAGACTGAATTTCTCTTCTAATCAGTTTTTACTTTATATTGATACATCTCAAGGTGATGTCATTGTGAGTTAGAGATTCCTGGCTGCTCTCTCTCCTGGGAGTGTTTCTTTTATCAATATAAAATATCTCCCATTATCTGAGTATTTTCTACCTTAGGTTCTTTTATCTGCTATTGATCATTAGCAGACCAACTTTATTTTGGTTATCTGCATAGCACATGTTATAGTCCTTTTATTTTCAAGCTTGCCATATATTTTGTTTAATGTGTGTCTTTTGTGCATAATATCTATCTGGGTATTTTTCTCCCTGGGTCTATCTCTCTTTTTCTCTTTTAATTGAGAGTTAATCACTGATGCTTTGGTTACTTGGGCTTGGTGTGGTCATTTTATTTGGTGTTTTCTCTTTATCATACTCGAATTACCCCCTGGCTTGGATTTTGAAGTTACACATTATTTCTGTCCTTGTGGTAGTTGCCCTAATGATTTAACTGGATGTTCTTTATATTTCTTGCACAGAGTCTAGTTACCCACTGTTCATATCCTCACCCAGTATCCCCTGGAGCTGCTTTTTCCTTTTGTAGTCTCGAAGTATTTCTCTCTCACTGCATCCAGCATTGTAGTTCTCAATCTGATCCTACAGTTTAGTGTGCTTTTTGCTATGGGTAGGCTTTCCCTGACACCTGCCTCCCCGCACAGCTGCCCATCTGCAGGCCTTCCATTAGTCATCGTCCCATGACCTGGTCCCCTGAGAGTTCCCTCACCTTGACGTCTGCTTGTGTGTATCTTTTCTTTTAAAATTTCATGATCTTTCCTGTGTTGTTACTCAGTGGACATGAATTTGGGCAAACTCTGGGAGATAGTGGAGGAAGGAGGAACCTGGCGGGCTACTGTCCATGTGGTCAAAAAGAATCAGATCCGACTTAGCAACTGAACAACAAAAACGAGGCCTAATTTAAANCAGGGGGATGAGAGCGAGGCCGTTCTGGGCACCAGGTTCAAGGTCATAGCAAAGCAACAAGCAGGAGAGGGTAGAGAGGTTCTGAAAGGCTCAACAGGTAGATGATGACCCACCCGATTTAAACACTGCCCTCTGTTACACTTCACCACTGAGTTGTAGGCTCTAGGTCAGAAATACATTAAAAAAAACAAAACAACTAAGTAAGTGTTAGTCACCCAGTCATGCCCGACTCTTTGCAACCCCATGGACTGCAGCCCACCAGGCTCTTCTCTCCATGAGATTTCCCAGGCAGGGATTCTGGAGTGGCTTGCCTTTTCCTTCTCCAGGGGACATCCAGACCCAGGGATCGAACCCAGATCTCCTGCACTGCAGGCAGATTCTTTACCAACTGAGCTCATAGTCCTTTTCTATCCCTGTTGTTTCCAGAGGCTTTTTAAAATAAGGAATGATGTGGAACTGAGGTGTAACGCTTAATGTCTCTTGAACTGTCCATTGTTGAATTTTGTTCAACTTGGAGTTTGTACTTAAATGATAAAGAATCATTCTTTTCTTGTGCCGATAGAACAGGCTTTGGTATTGAAACTGTTTACCTCAGATTGGGACTTGAACCCACATGGCTGGGACTCAAACCCAGTCAAAACCTGGCTTGGGACTTGAACCCACATGGCTGAGACTTGAACCCAGCCAAAACCCACGGTACTTGGTTTCAGGACCTAATGAAGCTCGGGTTCTTGACATCTCATCACAGAAAGAATTCAGTGAGAGACAAAGTGATAGGTAAGAAGTGGATTTATTCAGATACAGAGAGACGCACACTCCATAGAGTATGGTCCATCGCAGAGGACGAGTGCAGCTGAAAATCGCGTGGTTAGTTTTTATAGGCTGGGTAATTTCATATGCTAATGAGTGGGAGGATTATTGTATCCTTTTTTGGGAAGGGGCGGAGACTTCCAGGATTTGGGCCACTACCCACTCCTTGGTCTTTTAACAGTGCCTTGGGCCTGTCATGGCACTTCTGGGTGTGTCATTTCCCTTGCTGATGGAGAATCAAGGTCTAGTCTTGTCTGCCAGCTTGGTCCCATTTGATTCTAATCCATGTTGTGTCCTTGGGCTATGTTATTCTTTCAAAAGTTGTGCCCTGCCCCTTTCCCTCCTTTTACAGTATCACAGTTAGTTACATCTGCTTTGGAGTCACTTATGAGAAGGAGCTGTTGCATAAAAAAGAAACCACCTGGGCCTGCATGGCTTCTATTTTTGGAATTAAAAGTTGCCTTTTAAATACATTTCTTCCTTTAGACTTCCGTGACTGCTAAACTGCCGCTTAATATGATGTCAAGAAATATTTTGGTGGCATCTACCTGTAAAATGACAGAGCCATTTAATTTTGAGAAAAATGAAAGCAAGCTTCCATCACACGAGTCTTTAAGAAGTCCTGGAGGACATCCTAACCATCCTAATTTCAGGTTGAAAAGCCCAGAAAATGGAAATAAAAAGAACAATTTTTTGCTTTGTGAGCAAACCAAACAGTTTTTGGCTAGTCAGGAAGACAGTTCACTATCTTCACACCCTAAAGGTGTCAGTGGAGAAATGGCTGGATCCAAGGAAGAAACGCAGACAATGCCGACAGGTGAGTACAGACTGCAGGTTTAATGCTCACTTGATTCTGATGGTTTCTTAGACTTACTGAAAGTATCTGTAACTACACACCAGGGGCCGATTAACAACAACCAAATGGCTCACTTACAGTATTTGCATGTAAATGTTAATTTAGAAAGGAAAACCAGATGCCACATAGCTACTTTGGTTACATTAATCACAGAAGGATTCTTGAGAAAATATCTACAAATGAACTTCTCTCCCCAACCCTCCACCCAATTCAGAGATACACTAGAAATGTAGAAAGGAAACACTGGCTTCTTATGAATGTTCTAAAGATTGGCCTTAGTCTAGAAATACTGTGCAAATTTTATGCATATAATAGTTCACAAAGATGTATCTAAGACAATATTTTGTTTCATTTGATTTTTTAAAAAATCATTCCTTTAGTCTTAGTTCTAAAAATCTATTTTTTAAGGAGGATGGGGCCTGGTGGAATTTAGCCTCTGTGAATGTATGTAAGGTATGACCTTATAATATGGTGATGTAGTTCTCAGAGTTTGGCCCTTGAGCCTCTGAAAAAGTGAAAGTGTTAGTTGCTCAGTTGTGTCCCACTCTTGGCAACCCCATGGGCTGTAGCCCTCCAGGCTCCTCTGTCCATGGAATTCTCCAGGCAAGAATACTGGAGCAGGTAGCCATTGCCTTCTCCTGGGGATCCTCCTGACCCACGATTGAAACCACACCTCCTGCACTGCAGGCAGATTCTTTACCATCAGAGGCACCAGGGAAGCCCATGGGCCTCTGACTGCTGCTGCTAAGTTGCTTCAGTCATGTCTGACTCTGGGTGACCCCATAGACAGCAGCCCACCAGGCTCCCTCATCCCTGGGATTCTCCAGGCAAGAATACTGGAGTGGGCTGCCGTTTCCTTCTCCAATGCATGAAAGTGAAAAGTGAAAGTGAAGTCGCTCAGTCGTGTCTGACTCTTCGAGACCCCATGGACTGCAACCTACCACGCTCTTTCGTCCATGGGATTTTCCAGGCAAGAGTGCTGGAGTGGGTTGCCATTGCAATGTTCATAGCAGCACTATTCACAGAAGCCAAGTCACTTGAGACCAGATCCTAAAATCCTATAAATATTCATTTTTACTTTCTCTTCTGAGAAATTAAGATTTGTCAAGATGGCATTCCTCCAGGTAGACCGGTAGGCCAGAATCTGGCAGAACCAGATTCAAAGCTGGATGTCTCCTCCCAAGGCCAGGTTACCACAAAAACCTTAACTTCTTAGCACTATGCATGCTAAGTCATTTCAGTCATACCCGACTCTTTGCAACCCCATGGACTGCAGCCTACCAGGCTCCTCCGTCCATGGGATTTTCCAGGCAAGAGTGCTGGAGTGGGTTGCCGTTGCTTTCTCCATGGGCCTCTGGGGTCACAAGTATTTTCCTAATAATATTAAAACATTATTTGCTCTTCTTCACTATCCTGACATTATGCAGGTGGTGCAGAAGCAGAGGTGGGTAGCCTCTAATACCTCATTAGCTCACCTTTAGCAGGGGTACCAGCCTGGGTTAGGGGTCATTGTTTTTCATTTGCATTTAAGACAGAGCAAGCCAGAAATATCAGTTTTACATAAGAATGCCCTTGATAAGGCAATACAAATTATTAATATTAATAAGTCTTGACCCTTGTGTACAGGTATTTTTAGTATTCTGTGTAACAAAATGAGAATTACCCCTAACTTTTGCTGCTTACTGAAGTATGAAAAGCATGTGTGCAATTGTTTGAATTGTAGCTGAATGGAAATTTTTTTAGAATTTTTTTTTAATTTTTCATTTTTGCTTGAAAAGAATGACAAACTGTGGTCATTCAGACTTAGATACCTGGCAGTCATTTTCTCAAAAATGGGCAAAGTGAGCCTGTCACTTCAAAGGAAACAGCTGACAGTATTTTGTTGATAATGATAAAATACAATTTGAGGAAACGTGTATCTGCTGCCGTGAACTGGAGAGCTTCCTAGTACTTAGGAGATTTTTCTGCTGAGGTGCACGGTGATATTAACACTTAAGATTTTTTAATATTGTCTGATGAAATATGTCAACATTAGTAAGATCTGCATAACTCGAAGAGTTTCTTAGTCTTTTCCAAAAATCCAATGTGTAATGTTTTGTAGTCATGCATGGATAAAAATCCATTTAAAGTGCAAGATAAATCAGTGGATTCTAATGTAACAGATGAGAAGTTTATTGATATAGCTTTAGATTCCATATTGCAACTAACCCTTAAACTACCACTTGAGTTTTGGTGTGAATTAAAGGAAAATATCCACAGTTATCTGAGAAGGTCATGAAATACTATTCCTATTTGTAACCATATATGTGTGTGAGGCCAGATTTTCTTCAGGGACTTCAATTAAAGCAACATATAACAACAGTTTGGATTCAAAAGCAGATACGAGAATCCAGTGATCATTGGTGAAGCCAAACATTAAAGAGATGTGAGAAAATGTAAAATGATGCCACTCTTCAGTTTTTTTTTCCCTTTGGAAAATGCAGTTTTTTAAAAAAATCATGGCAACATGTAATACATTTGTTATTTTTAATAAATATTTTTAAATGTTTAGTTTTAATTTCTACTTCTTAATTTGTTTTTTTTTTTTTTTTTTTGGCTGTGCCATGTGGCGTATAGGACTTACCAGGGATTGAACTCAGGCCCTCAGCAGTGAGAACATGGAGTCCTAAGCACTGGGCTGCCAGGGAATTCCCAGTTTTAATTTCTAATAATGCTAAATATTGATGGGTATAAACCTTGTAGACAAAAGCTCTTTGAGGTCCTCAGTAATTTATAAGAGGGTAAATGAGTCTCCAGTTCAGAAAGCCTGGTAACTGTTTCCTTTGTGAATGGAGAAAAGTTCACAGTGAGCTGGGTCTACTAGTAGAGGAAATTTCAGCAAATCCTTATTTTCCATTAGGAAAAGTAGGATGTTGCTTATTTATAGTGTGGCTTTAAGGCTATGATGGTATAGCTCTATTTGAATATTACCTAATTATGTTATTGTACATTTTCAGGAATAAAGTAATATTTGACTTTTATTTGGCATTATGTTTTCTATCCCCAGGTAACTCTGTGTCACCATTAAATGTTGGAAATTCACCACCCAAAGAAGTAAATAGTGTAAGTTAATGTGGATTTTCTTCTCTTTTGTGTTTCTGGATAAAAGATTCTAAACATGTTTTTGTATTGTGTTAGTAAAGAATTACTCAGTTTGCAGGTAATATTCAAGATCACACTGTTTTATCTTTAGCCTACTATCTTTTTAAAAAATAACCCTTTTCTATTTAGGTAATTACAAGTTGTAAGAACTAATAGAGATCCTTTGTAGCCTTTACCCAGTGCTCCCGATGGTCACACACTACAGAGCTGCAGTATAATATCACAACCAGGATAAAGAAATAGTACAGTCAAGATACAGAATATTTCTATCACTCCAAAGATCCCTTCCGCACCTTTTTGAGGTCACATCCATTTCCCTCCTGCCCCCTGCACCCCCTTCTTAACCTCTGGCAACTATTAATCTAATCCATGTTTCAAAAATGTCATTTCAAGGATAGGATGTTATACAAACAGTATTATACAGTTTGTGCCTTTTGGGATTGAATTTTTTTCATTCAGTGTGATTCTCTGAAGATTCACTGCGACTTGTTGGTATCAGTAGAGTATTGCTTTTATATTGCTGAGGTCTATTTAATTCTAGGCTGTTTCCAGTTTCTGCCTATTATAAGTACTACTGTTATAAACATTCTTGTGCAGAGTTTTATGTGAACATAAGGTTTTTGTTTTTGCTTTAGAATAAGTGCCCAGGAGTGCAGTGTCTGAGTCATATAGTATTTGCATATTTAGGTTTTAAGAAGCTGCCAAAGTGTTCTGTGGAGTGGCTCTCCCATTTTACGTTCCCATCGAGAATATATAAGTGACCCAGATTCTCTGCATCCAGCATCCTCTCCAGTGTTTGCTAGTGTTAGGATTTTTAATTTCCCTGTTTCTACATTTGTCTACTGACGGCTCATTGTGATCTTAATTTGTTTCCCTGATGGCTAAGGATAAACATCTTTTCATGTGTTTATTTGCCTTCCATGTGTCTTTTTTGGTGAAATGTTCTTCATGTCTTTTGTCCATTTTCTAATTTGAATTGTTTATTTTTTTTTTCCTGCTGAGTTTTGAAAGTTCTTTATGTATTCCAGATTCTAGTCCTTTGTCAAATATATGATTTCTAAATATTTTCTCCCAGTTCCTGACTTGTCTTTTCATTCTCTTAACAAGGTATTTAGCAGAGCAAAAGTTTTTAACTAAATCCTGGTCAATTTTTCATTTTATGGAGTATTTTGGTGTCATGTCTAAGAACTCTTTGCTGGTTTAGCTCCAGAAACTTTGGGATTTTTTTTTTCCCCCAGAGAACTGTATAGTTTTATATTTAAATGTGTGGTCCATTTTGAGTTAATTTTAACTGATGAGACTTAGATTGAGGGTAAATTTTTTTGGCTAGGGATGTCCAGTTGCTCCAGCAGCATTTGTTGAAAATGTTCTCTTTCCTCCACTGAATTGCTCTTGCCCTTTTGTCACAAGTTAGCTAGACTAATTTGTGTGGGTCTGTTCTGGATTCGCTGTTCTTTTCTGCAGATCTCTCCCTGCATCAGTATCACACAGTACTGGAGCTGTGATAGATAGTCATGAAGTTGGGTACAGTGATCCTCCCATTTTCTCTTTTTCATCTTTCAAAATAGTTTTATCCGTCTTGTTCTTTTTCTTTCCAGTCTACATTTTGGAGTACTCTTGTTTGTAACTAGAAAAAATCTTGCTGGAATTTTGATAGAATTGCATTAAACCTGTATATCAGTTTGAGAATTATTGCCTCCTTTGCTATGCTGGGGCTTCCCTTGTGGCTCAGCTCGTAAAGAATCTGCCTGCAATCTAGACAGCATGTTTAAAAGCAGAGACGCTACTTTGCCAACAAAGGTCTGTCTAGTCAATGCTATGGTTTTTCTAGTAGTCATGTATGGATGTGACAGTTGGACTATAAAGAAAGCTGAGTGCAGAAGAATTGATGCTTTTGAACTGTGGTGTTGGAGAAAACTCTTGAGAGTCCCTTGGATAGCAAGGAGATCCAGCCAGTCCATCCAGAAGGAAGTCAGTCTTGAATACTCATTGGAAGGTCTGATGGTGAGCTGAAACTCCAATCCTTTGGCCACCTGATGCGAAGAGCTGACTCATTTGAAAAGATCCTGATGCTAGGAAAGATTGAAGGCGGGAGGGAAAGGGGATGGTGGGGGATGAGATGGTTGGATGGCATCACTGACTCAATGGACATGAGTTTGAATAAGCTCCGGGAGTTGGTGATGGACAGGGAAGTCTAGCATGCTGCAGTCCATGGGGTCACAAAGAGTTGGACATGACTGAGCAGCTGAACTGAACTGAATTTGCTGGGTTGAATCTTCTAATTAACACAGTCTGTCTTCCAGTTCATTTAAATGTTCTTTGATTTCTTTCACTGTGGTTTTCAGTTTATAAGCTGTGCATGTTTTCTTAGATTTACACCTAAGTGGGGTTTTTTTAAGTAAATTCTATTACACACTTTATTTCCATTTGTCTTCATTTTCTTTGCTAATATGTAAAAATATGGTTGATTTTTGCATGTTTATCTTGTATCCTGTGACCATCCAGGAGTCACTTATTCTAGGAATTTTTTGGTAGATTGCTTGGGATTTTCTACATAGATAATTATATTATCTGCAAATAAAAGACAGTTTTATTTCTTCCTTTTTAAAATACATGCTTTTTATTTCCTTTTCTTGCCTTATTGTGTGAGCTAAAACTCTAGCACTGTGTTAATAGTGATGAGAGTGGATATCTTTGGTTTGAAGCTTACAGGGAAAGCATTGAGTCTTTGCACTGTTGAAAATGTTAGCTATACGATTTTTGTAGATGATCTTTATCAGGTCAATGAAGCTTTCTCTCTTCCTATTTTGCTGAGAGCTTTCTTTTTATCATGAATAGGTATTGAATTTTTTAAATGCTTTTTCTTCATTCATTGGTACTGTTGTGATTCTTTTCCCCTTTAACTTGTTAATTTGGTAGATTACATTGATTTTTTTTTTTTAACTTGTCTTGTATCTCTGGAATAAACACCACTTGGTCATGCTGTATAATTATTTTTTATATATTACTGAATTATACCTAGTGTTGCTTTGAATAAAGATTTTTGTATCCATTCTCATGAGTTTTGTCTGTAATTTTCTCTTTTTTATTGTTTTTGTATAGTGAATGTCAAGGTAATGCTAGTTTTTTGGGGTATAGATTGCTTAGTGTAAATTCTTTAAACATTTGGTAGTATTCTCCAATAATAAAAGCCATTTGGGCTTGAAGATTTCTTTTTTGGGAGTTTTAAAATTATTCATTTTCTTTAATATTTATAGTGTTATTCAAATTATCTATTTCATATTATAATTTGTGATTTTTCAGGAATTGGTCCATTTTGTCACATTGTGCAATTTATGTAGAGTTGTTTGAAGTGTTCCATTATCATCTTTGAATTTTTGTGGTCTAGTAATTTATACCTATTTCATTCCTGATATTGATCATTTCTGCCTTTGTTTTCTCCATTGTTAGCCTTGCTGGAAATTTATCAATTTTGTTAATCTTTTCAATGAACCAGGTCTTGTTTGATTGATTTTTTCCTCCCAGTTTTATTTTTAATTTCATTGATTTCTACTTTTATCTTAATTGTTTCCTTCCTTCTGCTTGTTTTGGGCATGTTTTATTCTTATTGTTTAGGTTCTTGAGATGAGAACTTACAGTATTAATTTAAGACTTCCTTCTTTTCCTATGTGTCACTTTAGTGCTATAAATTTCTGTCTTAGCGATACATGCGTTATTTAGAAGTGTATTGTCTAGTTTCCAAATGTGTGGAGCTTATCTCTTCTCATTCTGTTACTGATTTCTAATGTGAGTCCATTGTAGCCGAAGAACACCATTGTCTGTGTAATTTATGGCCCAGAATGTGCTCAGCTGGACAAGGATGGGAGTTAAGCTCCCCAATTACCCCCCTCCCCCGACCCCACCATCTCTCTACTTCCGTGGGGTGGAGGGGGGACTGGAGATGGGAGGATCTGGAGAGGCTCTACTCATTCCCATTGAATGGTGGTGGAAAATCCTGACTGTCTACCAGGCTTCCTCTTAACCACCCTGGTGGAGTGGTGATGGGGGTAAGAGGGACGCTCATTACTGCCAGGAGAAAGTCCAGGCCTCCACATGGCCTCTACAGGGAGACCCCACAGGGATGAAGTACTGGATCCCTGCTCTGTTGGCCTTCTCCATATCCCTGGGTGGAGAGAGGGGTGCCCCCCTGTGCCCTGGTGCGGGTGGAGGTCTAGGCTCCCCAGTCTACCTTTGCTGGTGCGAGTGGGACCATAGTTTTTTTCTGCAGTGATTGTCTAGAGCAGTTACTGATGGAGGTTTTCTGTCTTGCTGGGCCACCCCTTTCTTGGTCTTTTGGCCAGAGAGAGAGCGAGCAGGCTTTTTGCCAGGGATTTATTGTCTGTGCCTTTGAGTGTTTCCGGTTTCTCCAGTACCCCATCTGGGTCCTTCTTTGGGCCCCAGGGTACCTCATCTGTCTTCTGCCTTCCTTCAGAGTTGCTGTGTGTTTGTCCATGTAAGTCCAAGGTGTTTGGTTGTAATTAATGGTAGGAGTAAGGAAAAGTACATCTACTTAATCTTCTCAGAAGCAAAATCCCAAATCTATATTCAACAAGTAAAAGAAAACGGAATATTCTTACCAAGTTTTAATACTGCTCTTCTCTTTTCTTCATAGAAGCCTAGCAATCATGTGCCTCCTGCAAAGTCAAAGAGAGTACACAAGTTGGTTGAGAATTCCTTGTCCGTAAATAATCCAGCACTCTTCAGCTCCCTAGGACCTCCTCTTCGGTCAACAACTTGCCATCGCTGCGGTCTGTTCGGTAAACATATTGCCCTCAGATGCCTGTTTAATTGGGCTTCCCTGATAGCTCAATTGGTAAAGAATCTGCCTGCAATGCAGGAGACCCCAGTTCGATTCCTGGGTCAGGAAGATCCCCTGGAAAAGGGATAGGCTATCCACTCTAGTATTCTTGCGCTTCCCTTGTGTCTCAGCTGGTAAAAAATCTGCCTGCAATGCGGGAGACCTGGGTTTGATCCCTGGGTTGGGAAGCTCCCTTGGAGAAGGGAAAGGCTACCCCCTCTGGGAGACCTGGATTTGATCCCTGGGTTGGGAAGCTCCCTTGGAGAAGGGAAAGGCTACCCACTCCAGTATTGCCTGTTGAATTTTTCCTTTTCACATTTGAAAAATATTTTTATGTAAAACATAAACAGATGAGTGTATATACTTCATATGCCCATTTCTGAGCTTCAGCAGCTGCCAACATTGTACCATTCTTGTACATCCATATCTTCCCACTCTTACTGCTGCTTTGCTTGATTATTTTTATACTTTTTTTTGAGATATTCAATAAAATATAATATGCACTGAAGTGCGCAAACTGATAGCCCTGTCAAAATGAAGATTTCCATTTCTGCAGAAAGTTCTCTCCTGTCCCTTCCCAGTCATATACCTGCCCCACCTGAGGCAACCACTGTGGTGTGTTGACTGTAATTTAATTTTTCCAGTTACAGAATTTCTCGTAAATGGAATCATACAGTATGGACTCTTTGTGTGTGAAGCTTTTTCTGTTTAGAAAATATTCCTGAGTTGAATCCATGTTGTTGCATGTACAATTAATTTTTTTGTTTGTTGCTGAGTAGTATTTCACTGTTTGATACCACAGTTTGTGTATCTGTTCTGTTGAACATTTTTCTTGTGTCCAGCTTTGGGCTATTATGAAGATAGCTCTCCCCGTTTTTGCATAAATCTTTGTGTGGACATAGGTTCTCATTTCTTCTGGGTACAGACCTAGGGAGTGGGATTGCTGAGTCAAAGCTAGATATAGGCTTCACTTTATAAGAAAAAGTCAAACCGTTTTCCAAAGAGTTGTCCCGTTTTGTATTCCCTCTGTTGTTGAGTTCTGATTGCTCCACCTCTTGTGTCAACATCTGGTGTTTCCAGTCCTTTTAATTTTTGCTCTTCTTGTGGGTGTGTGTGGTGGTATCTCTCTGTGGTTTTTAATTTTCATTTCCCCTCAGGTCAGTGATCTTGAGCAGTTTTCCTGTGCTTACTGTCTGCTTGGATGTTAGCCCCCTTTTTCCTATTTCTTTTAGAGCAGAGGCATTCGCGGTCAGCCTAGGTTTGTGGTTTTGTGTTTTTGTGGCTTTTGTTTTGTTTTTTAGATAACTTGTTTTCCTCCGTCTGGATACCGACAGCATTTTTTCTTTCAAGTTCATTTCAGGAACTTCCTGGGTTTTTCTAGGTGCGGTTGTCTTGTTGGTTTTTGCTCTGTGCCTTCTTCAGAGCACAAGGTGAACCCCGTCAGACTCTGCTTGCGCACTGTCTGATCCCACCGCCCCAGACTTTCTGTCCCCTTTGATTGTTCCTTTTCCAGCACGTGTTCTGGGTTCTACTTTAGGAAAGTCAGTGGTGTTTCCAGTCTGTCCTGGTTTTCATCTCGGCACTCCCCTTTTCCTGCAGTTCAAGAGAGCTTTAAACGTTCAGTCTTAACCTGGAATCATGAACAGCATGATCCTCTTCACATAGTCTCCTCGATAGGCTTAATAGAGTGGCATTTGACATGTCTGGTCTTTGAATCTGTCTTGCTCTTGGTGACAGATATTTGCAATAACACACTGGTGGTGTCACGGGCTGTCTTCTATAGGGTCGCTGAGGTGCTCACAGTGCAAGCAGACATACTACTGCTCCAACATATGCCAGAGAAGGGACTGGGCAGCCCACAAAATCGTGTGCAGACCTGTCCAGCAAAAGTAAGTGTGAGTCTTAAACATTTCATTAGAAGATATTTTAAAATAGGGGTTTTTTTTTTTTTTTGGTAGTATAGGATCAAATCAGGTAAGCAGGCAGAAGTATGTAAATATTGCTCCTTGTTACTTTTTTTACTGAAGTATAACAAAATGTACAAATCCAAAATGAACAGCTTAGCTGTGTAATTTTTGATCCTCAGAACTCTGTTTTAGGTAACATAGGGATTATTTCCATTTTGCAGATAGGAACACTGAGGCTTGGAGAATGGGCTTGTCTTCCTTTCATTAGGCGGCTTTTGGCAAAAGCACACCTGTGCATAGAGCAGACCATTGCATAGCCAGCATCGGTTGTATTACCTTGTTACTACTGAGATTCTCTCTGGAAGAGGCTGTTTTGCTCTTTATGGGTTTTGTGGAGAGTTTAGCATAGCTGTGGCCCCTACCACAATTATGTTACCATTAATTAGTTCTGTGCCATATGTTTTATAATTGGTTGCTTTATTTCAGTTTCCACAAACTTGAAGATTATAAATCACCTTTTGAAACAAAGAACGTGGAAGTGAAAGATGAGGTATGATATATTTATACTCTTTCTTTGCCCTAAGAGCAAATTTTTTAATGATGCCCATTATTTCAAAATAAGAGGACTGAAGCTAAATAAAATATTTATGACTTATTTCTCCATTTCACCAGTGTTCTTTTTTTTTTCTGTTAAATAAATCTGTACACCCTAGTGATCTTTGGTGACTGTAAGGGGTCTACAAGAATTGTTTAAGCCCAGCTGTTTTTTTTTTTTTTTTTAAAAGGACTTGAGATGCTGTGTCTGGCTGTAGGCGGATGGCTGAGAGTCCTTTCTTTTTTTAGTCCCTGTGTGCACGGCTCTCTAGCTTTGTGTACTGGATTCTGATAGGCCCCTGTTATCTAAAGGAACATTTTTTTCCTGTTAATATCTTTCTTCCATGTAGGTAACTTATGTGAAGTAAATCATTTGTAATCTGGAAAGTATCACTGAATCCAATTCATACAGATAAATTTTAGTCTTCTCTAGCTGGTCCTGGCTTCTACTTTCAAAAAGAAAACCCATCCCCATAAAAATGTTAACAAGGGAAAACTTAAAACACTGCCTCCTTCCCCCCCCCCCCGCCTTTTTAAAATAAACTCAACATTGTTATCACCATCATGGCCTGATTCTTGGGTGATCCCAGTTCTGTGTACTCTGCCTGTGGACACTTTTGTTTTAATGACTCTTGAAGATGTGTGTTATTTCTCTATGCTTTTTTCAAACTTGAGCTGTTTTGACCTTGATTCTAGCAAATACTGGCCATAGTTTTTAAAAGGGTGCTTGTAAAGTAACTCACTAACGTGTTTCGTTTTGTTTTCAAACCAGAGTGACTGTCCTCTCACAGTTACTAAAGAAAGAGCTATTTGTGCTGATAAAATAATGTTTTCTGATTTGAGAAGCCTACAACTCAGGAAGACCATGGAAATAAAGGTATTTGCTGTTTAATTTCCACAGACAGAGATCTAAAGCACTACAGATTTTTTTTCCTTGTTTCCCATGTTTAATTTGAATTTATAAGATAGTTCCAAAATAGTACTGAAATTGATACAAATTGCAGAAACTATCTCTAACACTTTCTGTATCTTGTTACAGAGCTTTATAGAATTAACATTTGCTGTATTTCTCAGCAAATTACTACGACTTTTTTGTCTTTGAAAGGGTACAGTTACTGAATTCAAACACCCAGGTGACTTCTATGTGCAGTTATATTCTTCAGAAGTTTTAGAATACATGAACCAACTCTCTGCGAGCTTAAAGGAAACGTATGCAAATAAGGCACACGAAGAAGATTATGTTCCTGTGAAGGGGGAGATTTGTGTTGCCAAGTATACTGTTGATCAGGTAACCCCTAATGAAATGCATTATTAAATAAGACGTTTTAATTTACTTTGGTTCTATCAGCTCATCACCAGAGCTCTTAATGATGCGTTAGATGGCTTGAGGTGAGGTTCTGGTCACACTGCTGTTTCTCTTCCTCAGTCAGGAGTCCAGGTCTGTTTGCTCACTTCCTTGATGCCCCAGGCCTCTCCAGCTCTACACGTGGGCTCCTCAGTTGCTGGGTGGGTAGGAGGGATTACGAGTCCTAGAGCTTGTGTTTATTTGTGTAGCCAAGTCTGCTGGACTAGGATAGCCTGGGGATTGTGCAGGTTAAAGCATCTAAAATGGACAAGTTTGGGGAATTCTGAGCCAGATTCTTAGAAAGTTAACTTGTTAATGGAGCATCTCAGAACAAAACAGTAACCTTTCCTTAGCAAGTTCTGTAGATTGAGAGTTTTTAAACCTAAGGTTGTGAAATGCTGTTTTGAAGCAGAACACTCATATTTCACTTTCAGACCTGGAACAGAGTAATAATTCAAGATGTTGATCTGCTGCAGAAGGTGGCACAAGTCTTATATATTGATTATGGAAATGAAGAAATAATCCCAGTAAACAGAATTCACCAATTAAACAGGAAAATTGACTTGTTTCCGCCTTGTGTGAGTCTCTTTTACTTTCTAAATTCCTATTATTGTCCCAGAAAAGATGTTTTTAATGTTTTGATGGACACAGTATTTGCATGTTCTTTTACCATGGTTATTCTGAAAAAGTACCAATTGATACATCTTTTACTATGTAGAGAAATACTAATGGACTTTCTTGGCTCCACTTTATTAGGCCTTACTTAAAGTATTGCCACAGACTTCCGTGGGGGCTCAGACGGTAAAACGTCTGCCTACAATGTGGGAGACCCGGGTTCGATCCCTGGGTCGGGAAGATCCCCTGGAGAAGGAAATGGCAACCCACTCCAGTACTCTTGCCTGGAAAATCCCATGGACAGCGGAGCTTGGTAGGCTACAGTTCATGGGGTCGCAAAGAGTCGGACACGACTGAGCGACTTCACTTTCACTCACAGGTGAGGAACTTGGCATTTTTAGGGACACTTTATCAGTCTACTCTTTAGAAATAATCATTTCTATATTTATTACATTATTTGAAAGTGACTGGAATTTATGTGTAATTGAGGGATAATTACTGTCTTTTCATGGATTTCTCAAGCTTCAAGACCCAAAATGTAAAATGTCGTGGATAGACTTATCAAGAGGGACAAATAGTTATTCATAGAATTGTTTATCAGGTTAGTACTTGAAGATTTTTGATAAATCTTCAGCATGAAATACATTGTTCTTAAAAAAATCTTTATATAATTAGAAAAAAGTCATTTTCAAATACTAATCTCTAGTACCTTGTATAAAATCTTTCAGGCCATAAGATGCTTTGTGGCCAGTGTTATCCCGGCAGAGGGGAATTGGAGCAATGATTGTATCAAAACTATTAAATCGCTGTTAATGGAGCAGTACTGCTCTTTAAAGATAGTGGACATCTTAAAAGAGGAAGGGGTTACCTTTGCTGTGGATGTTATGATGACAAGTTCAGGTAAGATCTGACTCTTTCTTTTTAAGTGGAGCACTTAATGTTACTCAGAGAAGAAATAGAAACATGAAGTGAGACCAAGTAAGCCCTGGTGTGGAGTCATTTACATTGTGATGGGAAGTATGGCCTTGGCTCTGCTGTTGCAGCGGGCAGTTTGTCAGAGACAAAGCATGAGTTTATAGAATTGAGTGTATTAAGAGCTAGATCTAGATGTAGTATGGAGAGACCATATTATCTTTTTTATACAGCTATTATAGTATTTATTCCTAATTTCTTCTCATTTACTGGGAAAATTCAGGAATTTCTGTCTGAATTTGACCATCCTCACCATAAGTGCTTTTTATTTGAACAGCCTTCACAGAACTGGATTTGGTTAGCATTATTGTTGTTTAATCACTAAGTCATGTCTGACTCTTCTGCGACCCCATGGACCGTAGCCCACCAGGCTCCTCTGCTGGGTCAGGGAAGATCTCCTAGAGAAGGAAATGGCAACCCACTCCAGTATTCTTGCCTGGAAAATCCCAGGGACAGAGGAGCCCGGTGGGCTATAGTCCATAGGGTCACAAAGAATCTGCCATGACTTAGTAACTAAACAACAACAAGAATTTAAGTTGTAGAAATGGAAGCAATTTGAGAACCTGTTCTTCCTTTATGGCTTTGTACATATTTTAAAAAGTGACTTTTTATATTCCCTTTATGTGCTTTTAATTGCCTCTTGATAGCCAAGGTATTATTACTCTTCTACTGTTTAAGACCCATGGTTGGTTGGTTTTTGGTAGAAAATTCAGTTCACCTTTTTGTGAAATTAAGTATAAAATCTGTATGTGTTGTTTCTTTGCTGTGTGTGTTTCATGTTACAGCTTGAGCTTTTGGATACTGTTGATATTTCTCAACCATACTTTAAATCTGAGATGAAGTAGTCTTATGTCTTAAATTTATTTTTTTCTTGTAAATGGTGATTATTCTAAGCATGCCAGTGAGGTGGTAGCTAAATCTTTCATGTTAGTCGTAATTTTTAAGTGAAATATTTTTATAAAGTTTTTTGTCAAGTAACAATTGGGTTTTTGCCTCAATTTTTAAAGCTGAGCATTAATAAACTATGTTTTTCAACTAGAAGCTGAACTAATAAAAAAGTTGGCCATGGCTATACTACCCAAAGCAATCTATAGATTCAATGCAATCCCTATCAAACTACCAACGGTATTTTTCACAGAACTAGAACCAATAATTTCACAATTTGTATGGAAATACAAAAAACCTTGAATAGCCAAAGTAATCCTGAGAAAGAAGAATGGAACTGGAGGAATCAATCTGCCTGACTTCAGACTATACTACAAAGCCACAGTCATCAAGACAGTATGGTACTGGCACAAAGACAGAAATATAGATCAATGGAACAGAATAGAAAGCCCAGAGATAAATCCA